AAATGAGGTTGAACACGAATCTCTTTTTTGCCAATTGTTGTATCATTGAGCTAGCTAATAGCATACAAAAAGGCAGCTTTCTACATCAAGAAAGAACAACCTTATCACTGAAGAAGCAATTCCAAGCAACCCTTCTGTAAAACTTTCACTGTGAAAGATGTTCAAAGAACGTGGCCATTACAAGTTTGACAACGTATTCCGGGTTAATATAGCACCGCTCAAAATTTGGAATATGCGATGCCGGGCGACACCCTCTGTATTTTATTCCTTGGCGCACTGTGGAGCATCTTCAGCTGTGGTCAAAGCATGAACCGTTTTAGAAATCTATAAGGCTGCGTTAATATTTATTGACTCTATTTTAGAGTAGACAGCGATAGTAGCTAATGTAGTGAGATACTACGATATTCAGATAAGAAAATTGGATAAGTACTGATTACTGCAGTAGAAGATTTAGAAGATTAGAGATTAGGCTTCTGTAGGCGGATCGATCAATATCTATCTGATCGTTCAGCGCTAATTTTCCACTATCCTGATATCCTGGTATCGTATTCTGCTGATTTCAATCGTTACGGAAATTCATCTGTACTATGCTAATCGCTACTATCCGCCGAAGCCCTGAACTATAAATGCGACCTAAGTTAGTGATCGAATTAGCTTTACAAATGCCGTAAAGTCATTATTGCTGGTGTCATTTCGGCCGTTAGGCAGTTAACAACAGTGAAGCGGATTCCGCCTTGCTTTTTACTCTTTTTGCTTTCCAATCCTCATTATCGGACTTTACCTTTCACCTTTTACCTTTTACGCGATTTGTCTTCAACATTCCTCCATGTTTGCAAATCGGAACCTTTCCATCTTTCTCTGTCTTGTGCTATTCTTGTCCATTGGTGACCATGTAACTGTACCATTACCAATGGATCGCACCATCTCATCTTCGGATGACCCACAGGGCCTTTGTGAGGTTTTATTCAAGGCAATGGCTCAGCAAAAATTTGATTTAGAGTTAGTCTTCAAGGAAAATTAACGGTTTCTTTGATGGTTTAGGGAAATGTCCCGACCTTGTCAGTTGTGCTGCCGACTGTATAGCGAAGTCTACTAGTAACATGGCCTCAATCAGCAACTGCCTTCGCCGAAAATGCGCCTTCTACTGCTTTAATGGCTCTTGTCCGAAGTGCTCGGCTTTCATTACAAAGGTAAGATCTGCTTCAAAGTTCCATTTACTGTCAGTGAACAATGATGATGAAATGACAGAAGAGTTTTTGTCACCTGCTCTACCCTTGAATCATTTCCTAACAATACTAGCCAGGGCTTTCAGGAACCAATTATTTGGTACTCCTGGGGTTTGAGGAACTAACCAAGTCTTTCATTTTCCTAATACCAAATATTTACAACTTCCGATCTCGCTTGTTGAACAGAGACTTCTACAAATGTGTCGTGTCCGCAGGTCTCTACTTGCAGACTCAGCTTCAAAAGATTTTATGTAGAACTAATTCGTCGAACTAATCTTGGACAAAC